TGTACCGCCACCCCTACAACACCTGTTTCTTGCTGGCTGTCTATCTATCTATCTATCTATCTATCTATCTATCTATCTATCTATCTATCTATCTATCTATCATCTTTCTCTCTTTCTCTCCATCCATCTATCTAATCCATCCATCCATCCATCCATCCATCCATCCATCCATCCATCCATCCATCCATCCATCTATCCACCATCCATCTAGCTACTTCCATCCAGTGGCCTGGACTTTACCCTGAATTAAGAGATTACAGAGTTGTAAAAAGGGAATTATTCAAGTTTATAGTAGAGGTAAAGTGACTTCAGACTGTGATAACACTTCTAGTTCATTACATCGTAATCAAGATTAAGATGAAAAGACTTCTGTATGCCCGGATGTCTGCAAAGGTTTCGTGCCGACTCTTAAAACGTGGGTCGTACCTTGTTAAAATGTGCCAGGGTTGTTTTGCAAATACAGCCTGGTGATTCCATGCGCTGTTTTTCTATCTATGCAAATAGCATGGCTTGGATAATAACACTGTTATTTCTGGATATCTCTCGGGCTTAAAAGTACAGTAAGTGGTAATCGTTTCTCCCTTCCATTTCATCATTGCTGTAGCCATGTTCACACCACACGCAGAAATAGCCAAGGTAGTAACAGCTGCGTGCGAGTAAAATACTACGTGGGTTTAGTTGATGCTGAGTCTGGAGCTTTATAACTGTGCAAAATCCATTTTTGGTTTGGTTAGATTTGTACAAGACCCCTGGGTTACATCGGTAAATCAGTTGTGCAAATGTACTTCTCCGTCTTTCTCCTTTCTCCCTGCTTTGAAAGCTTTTCTTTTTTTTGCTGTATGTTATTTTACATTTATTTCATGCTTTATAACCCCAAAACTCTGGTTGGGTTAACACATTACACCTAGCCATAGTTTTTATTCCATGGTTTATTAAACTATAATCTTGAGGTTACCCAATGTGGCTAGGCCATAAACCAGTCACAAAGGCTGGGTTTACTGAACAAGCTAAGCTAAAACCAAACAAGCCACATTGTGGGTCTCTGCGTATGTGTGTGTGCGCGCGCACAAGTCTTCAAGCCAGTGTTGGACTCTGGACAACTGCTTGGGCACTGCATTTTTCTTATTAATGTTTACTAATGTGGTATGCTATTACTTCCTTCCTAGGGCTGAGAGAGAGAGACTGGCCAAGGGCACCCAGCTGGCTTTGTGCCTCTGGTGGGACTAGAACTCACAGCTCCCGATTTCTAGCCTGATGCCACAACCACTAGGCCAAAATGACTCTCTAATGGGTTAGTATCAAGTATCAAATCAATTGATAATTGGGATGGGTGGATGGATAGATAGATGGATGGATGGATGGATGGATAAAGAGATAGGTAGGTAGGTAGGTAGGAAGGAAGGAAGATACATAGATATAGAGGTAGATAGATAGATAGATAGATAGATAGATAGATAGATAGATAGATAGATAGATAGATAGATAGATAGATAGATAGATAGATANTTTAATGACTAAGGGAATGGTCATTAAGCGAAATATCATAACTACATGGCTAAGAAACAGCAATTCTGGCAATCCCAGTTGGTGTCATTGAGTGAATCCCATATGGTCATTAGGCAAGGGCCCACCGAGCCATTCTTGGAAGAAAGTAAAGAATTACTGCAACTCCGTTCACCCACTTATCTTCCCCCAAGCTTTTCCATTTGGTTGCCTGCCTTTGCGCTGCTGTCTTGCCTGCTGTTGTGATTGCCATACTGTTTAGCACTACTAGCTGGGTCTTCTTTTCTAATGCCTTCTTTCACATGCTTGCTCGTCCTTTTTTTCTTTTGCTGGCGTTGTGTGTTAGCCAGAACCTTCTTTCATGCTCGCTTTCTTTTGCACTAGCAGAAGATCCCAGCACTTAGTAGTGTACTATGCACCCCATGCCCCGAGAGTAGCTCTCATCTAGAACTCTGTAGGATATTTTCACAATGTCTACTCTGTGCGCAGCCAAGGTGGTGAACCCAGCAGACGAGTGGCAAGCAAGGATTACAGTCAGTTAGAGATGTGTTCATGTGTGGCAACAGCAGGATGGGTGACCATAAATGCAAGTGGGCCTAAATGTTATTCAAGTATGACCGTGGGGGGCACTGCATTAGGCAGGGCTTTGAAGAACAGTCATAAGTTCATGTTTTCAGTACCATCATAATTTCCATCAGTGGTTAAATGAATGGACGTTTCTGGAGGACCACCTATATTTACTCCTGCTAGGTCAATAATTGTTATTGGCTATATAACATCTAAAGGCAGCATCTACAAAATGAATTTCATAACTGTAACAAAACATTCTTACCTCTGCTACTTGAACTGCTTCTGCTTTGTGAGGCAGAAGACCTTGAAGAAGACCTTGAAGACGAGGATGTAGAAGAATTAGAAGATGTAGAGGAAGAGATGGAGGATGATCTGCTTCTGCTTCGCTTCCGTTTCCTTTTACTTTCCTCTAAAGAAATAAAAAGGACAGAAAGAGTGAGTAGGGTTTCCCTTTTCATATGCTGAGTAGCATTAGTGTTAGATTCTCCTTTAAATGGTTGTCAACTATTGTTAATACTGAATGACTGAAACATACATTAAGTAATAGTTAAATAAAAAACAAGCAAATAAATATATGGATCTATTTAGTACATTCTGCCTTTTTTCCATCTAGAATGCAAGCACAGAATGATTGATATACAATATATCTAGATCCCATTTTTTTAAAAAAATGTGTTATTATACTTTAATTACTCATTAATTATAGGCAACACATGGTGCATTAAAACTTTAAAACAAATCAAAGGAAAACAGTAACACCAATGTTAAAAGCAATATTACTACCTTATCTGAACCAGACCAAGTTAGCTTCAGCGAGACAAGTACTTCCAGACAATAATTGTCTGGCAAACATCATTACTTCATCTTTACAAAGTTTTACATTTAAAATAAATTAAGCTTATTTTTGAATGTCAGAGGTTTGAAAATAAAAAATTAGAAAAATATCAATTTTGGTATGTTTTTTAAAAAATGACTAAAAGTTCCATCTGTAGTGTTTAGCTTGTACCAGAATCAAAAGTCTAATATATTTATTGACACTACTATTACAGGGCCAATAATCATTCTTACCTCTGACTTTTGTTTTCTCTTGTGATGTTGCACACCGCATTTCATCTATTGCTTCATGGTGGTCATCCATATCTGTGAGACATTATATAAATCACAGAGTTGCAAACAATATTTTTCCTAAAGAAATGTAAATGACCTGTTAACTTTCACTGCCTACTTCTAATACCAATACCAATACTGAATTATGACCTGCAGAACTTCCTTAAAGGAGTTTCAACATAACACTTGTTGGAAGCATTAAATTATTATGTAACAGCACTAACTATTCTAACAGACCATCAATGCATTTGCTTGTGGTCCTAACTCCTCGCTGCTTTAAATTTATGACTATCTTTTTATAATACAGTAAATCAGAAGCTAGTTACATTTTAGGCATACACAAATTGATTAATTTACAATTCAGTGTGTCATGAGAACTCAAAAAATTGGGTTAATACAGTTACCCAATTACACATATGCACATGTAATATAATTCTTCAAACTGATAATCAACTTTATAAGTTTCTTTATAGGATAAATCTGCTATCATAATAAAATATGCAATTTAAGAAGGCTTCTGAAAAGTGGCTTCATATTGCATAAGGCAATTTGGCATGAATCTTTAATACAGAGTTTATAAAAATTCACAGTAGCACAAATTAAATAGCCCTTTATACTTCAGTCCCAATTTTTGGAAGTTATACTGCACATAAGCCATATACTTATAGGTTAACTCTACAACTTTTATCAGATGCACATTGGTTGTCTATACTTAACATGTTTTATCTCACAATGGTTTTGTTATACTGTTTATGTTCACAAATCAAAAGTGGTTGAAATTACATGAGATCAAACCATAACTAATCAATCACATTAATGAATTGAGCTCTGGGAACTTATTTTGAATAGTAATTTCAAGTACCTCCAATAGCGATATCAATCTATTATAGCAAATCAAAACAGAAGTATCAAGAACTCTAAGCCTATTCCTTAAGGGCGAAGACATAAAGGCTCCACAGATATAAAGGCTCCATTCATAAAGTGTTGCCTTTAGTCTTATTTGATGAATTAATTAATTAATCAATCAATACATATGCTACCATATGAACATTTTGTATTATATTTTATGAAGAATCACCTATAGAAATGTTCAGTTAAACATTAAATAAAATAAAGATCCATTATACAAAAATTACGATTTTGTCAGATTGTTGATTGAAATTAGAAAATTCAGTAAGCAATAAATTAACTAATTTTAGTTGAACAGCGTAGAAACCCAGTTTGTATATGTCATTACGCTTCACGGTGTCATGTGAAGGCAGAAAATGATGCAGCAAAGCCCAATATATAAAAGCACCAAATATTTTTCTAAATCTCTTTTAGGTATTATGAATCTCCGCTGTTTTTCCTTTTTTTTCTTTTAAAGGAAATTTTTTCCCCCAGTGCAGGTCCATGGAAATGTCGATTATCCTTTATTTATCAAGAGAAACCACGACTGTAATCGCTCTCTCTTCGATTACAAGCTACATGCAAATATCAGTGTGGTCGTGGCAAACGCGGCGAATTCGTTTCACCCGGGGCATCTCTAAAGGCTCCGGGTTACAGGAGACGCTTGTGCGATCTCTCTCTTCCCACCCTAGGCCCCCACCCAGACGTTTTTTCCCTCGCAACCTCAAAACCAGAGTCTCTCGGGTTTATTTGCACTCTCGTCGCCGTTTCAATCAGGAAGGAGGTGCTCGTAATACTAAGGATTAGGGTTGCGAAGGATGCATTACGCGTCCCCAGAACTAGGCTACAGCACCGAAAGTCGCATGAACTTAGTCCAGCAACCCAGAGAAGCCTACCTACAACTTCACCTCCGGCTACTTTCAGGAGGGGGTTTCTAGCAGGTAGCGGAAGCGAACGCGGACGCAGCGGCGATTTACGGAAAACAGCCGCTGCGGCCCCGTGATCTCCAGGAACCCGGAACCACAATGTTGAGCTCTGCCGCTTGTCGGGACTAGGCCGGCCCCACATCCCGGAAATGATTGTAAGCGAATATCATGTGGCTACGCTTCCCGACGCCTCTCGGCAGTTTCGAACGAAGCGCATAAGCGGAGAAGGGTGGGAGGCGTTCGCGTTCGTCCTAAACCGCTTGAAGGAGCTGGCGAACCACAAACTGTTGTCACTGCCCTCACCCACCTTTCAGGCTCGCTTATGAATAGTAGGGCTCAGTGTCTTATGAATTCAGGAAACTGCGTCTGAATAAGCCATAGTTAAGCCAGCAATAAGTCAGGTACAATGGGATTCCAGGCCGGGTGTAGAGAAGCACTGCACTGTAGCAGGGTTTGGCATAAAAACTCGGTTCCGTGTTTTAGCACAAGCTCTGCAAATAATCTTCAAATTCGTGACTACGCATGGGATGAGATCTCCGATTTACAATAAATGGATTCTAGAGAAAATAGTGCGGTTCTGTATCTCGTAGGCACTAAAAATTAATGGTTGTTACTGAAAATGGATTGTTCTTGCAGGAAAAATGATCTAAATTGGGACAGTAGTTTCAAATGGGTTCCATTTAAAAATTGGAATAATGCATTAAATCTGTACTTTTGCATTGGGCTATGAAAAAAATATGGCTCTTATGAGGGATCTGGCTTGAAGGAACAATTGAAAATAATGAAATCTGAAGGTACCAGAAAATGTTTTCCCATTCTTCATAGTTAATTGAGTTTGGCTTCAAATGATGCAGAGAATAAAGAATATAGAGTAAATAGTAGAGACTTTTAGTATTTGGTTTAATTCAAAATTATTTTGTAAATATCTAATTGTCAACCAGAATGTAATGGACTGGAGATATGCTGTTGCACTGAGAAGCAGTGGCACATCATTGAGACATGAAGAACCAGGTTGGCTCAGATTGTCCTGGAGAAGATCTATCTGTGGTCATAAGAGTCAACATTGACGATGCCATAACATAACCATTTAAAGCTTTCTCAGTTATTAAACTGAAACAGTAACAGAGCATAATAATAACAAGATCAACTTTTGCTGGATGTTCATAATTCACAGAACTATTAACATGACATTTTAAAAGTACAAAAAAATACAACAGTCTTTCAAAACTCTACAAAAAAACAGCTTGGTAGACCACAGAGCAACTTTCATCAGTTTGAAAGAATCCAGAGAGCATAAAAGTGTTCACTCTAATGTTTTATAGTGGATATTCTCATAATTCCTCAAGATCAGTCAAATCTACCATTACTTTCAGAAAGAGTGTATCATCTTTGATGTAGATGTTTTTTGCATTTTCCAACACAGAGTGTGCAACAAACCGAGGACATCCAGAAGCCACATTCATTTCTCCTCCTGGCCTTTTGAAGCTGATGCTGTTAGGATCAGCTTTGAAAGTTTCACATATATGTTTTTTCTTTCCACTTTGATCCAAAAGCATAAGTGTAACCTTTTGTTTGAAAGGCCATGATAATAATGCATCAAATTCTCCTCTCATCACTACAAAATACAATGAAACATGAGTTCCCCGTCCTGTGCCATCTCCATTTAAATATGCTCTGGCAGATAATCTATATCCACAGCGGCTGGTATAAAAAGGTTGACTAAATAAGGAGAAGCTGTGCCCTTCTATAGCTTCTTTCTTCTTAATTTTGTAGTCCATAATTTTCCAGATCAATTTTCCATTGTAACTTGCTCCTTCCAAAATCTTGAACCGTTCTTCATTTTTGTTAAGTTGTGTCCCGTGCATTCTGAAGACAACATCTTGTTGGGTAGCCAAGTCTTCTAAAACAATTAGAGGAGTAAAAGAGGTACATTTCAGGATTTGCTTTTTTGGCTTTTGGGGGGATGAGGGTAAGGGTGGGGTGAAGTGAGAATGACATAGAGACTTAGAAATCAGCATTTTCATTGCTTCAACATAAATGTTTCAAATTAATATCTCATTGTTTATATTAGTTATTAAAAATCTATCACACAATTTTCTCTATTAAAAAATATTTGCTTTTTAAAGACCCAATCTACTCTATTGATTGAAACCACCTTTGTTCTTAAGATTGGTAGTAAGTTATCTTGTAATTTTTAATTACATATCGATATGACTGCTCTGCAACTTAAAATTGGTTGTACCTGAAAAAAAATGCTTAAGTTGTAGAGTACAATCCCATATTTAACAAAAAGTAAAGGTAAACTGAAACGCAACATTATCAGATTTTACTAAGCCAAAGTTTACTTAATTTTATTTACTGAACAAGTTATATTGTGTTAGCCATCCGGAGTCACAGAAGCAAGATGAGTGGTCATATAAATTGTTTAAAATGAAGAAAAATAAATAACTGGCTTTACCAGAAAATGGTAAACTCTGGGTTGAATATGCAGTGATTGGGTTCAAATAACAAATGGACTAAAACAGTGTTTTCACTCTAGAGAAAACATGTTGAAAGCAAATGGTCAGTAGGCCATCAACTAGCCATGACAACTCAGAGTGGTTACAATTAGTGTTTCCACCACACGGAAGAATGATCATGGGACATTAGGGAGTCTTTAGGAACTGAAAAATGATGTCATTATTACTAGCCTGTTGCAAAGGACACCAAGAAAAGAAGTGTTGCTCTTAGTCACAATAATTATTTGTGCCTATTTATTCTCTCTCTTTCTCTCCCTCCTCCCCGTCTCTCTCTCTCACTGGCACCCCTCTCACAAACACATATCCTACATAGAAATTGAGTGGGGACAGAGTAGGGTGTCTTCTTTTATTAGTTGTCTATCCCAAATTTCTACAGGAGCTGAAGGAAAATATCTAGCAGTTTTTCACAATACAAACCTGTTGATTAGGTTGGACTGATCCCAAACATGTGCATTTAAGTGAATTAGTATAAACTTAATTGATATACACATTATTGTAAAGAAAGATGGCGCAACCCATTTTGGCTTTGATAGAAGATGCACAAAAGTGGATCCCTCATCTATAGACAGATCAATATTACACAACCAGACAACAAAAACTGAAGGAATATTTCAAGAACTGGGAATTGTCTGACCAAAGCAAAACTTTGAGAACTGTTATCTGCATGATTCTCTTTTGACTTCTAATTGGGGTTATCAACCAGATCTATGAGAAAGTAAATCCAATAATACCTAGACGTTGTTCATATGATTCAAGAAGAGCAACTTTCTGCTTTAGGTTATCAATGGTGTCCAGTAGTGTTCTCGGGTCCAGTTTGCTTTGCTGCTGATTTGTCTTTTGTACCAGCTGTCTTACTTGTGTTTCCAGGAAGATATTTTTATCAATGTGAATGGCCAAAGTCTTCAGTTGCATTGTTGATGGGGGGTAAGAGGAGGAACACAATTTTAAAATAAAATGAAAATGCAGCAACTAGCATTATTTAATATCTTTATTAAACCTTCAATGGATCTGTTAGGAACAAAATTTCTTAATTTTGGAATTTTTCCAAATAATTTCTTTCGGCAGAAAAAAATTAGTCAACAACATTTTCCACGAACTTTGCTCAAAATGTTAACTACTTGAAAATCAAAATTATCTACACCTCTACAAGGAGAGAATGTAATAGAAATCATATTTGTGTTAGAATTCTGCATAATAAAATTCAAGATGGTGAAAGTGTAGTCTTCGATACCTGAACTCTTACAGATAGCTCAGTGATCTATGAATGTAATATATATGAGTTGAGTAGATAGAAGTGTTAAATTCTAACTGTTCTAACTGTTGTGCCCTCTACAATAGCACTGTGACATGATAACAAGACTTCTTTCGGAAGACTTTTTAGAGGCATAAGAAAATTGAGCCTCCAGCCTTTTTCTTTTTCCTTTTTTTTTTTTTGCTGTAGCAGTTCCTTGGGGATGCAGGCAGTTGTTTGTCTAGTATTTGGTTCATTTTTGAAATTGTGATATTCCCTAGAGGAATGAGATGCATAATTACTATTTTTTATTTATGACATAAGCTTCAGACTTATATCAAGGACCATCTCAGTTAATGAGATGACTAGGACATCTGAGTCTTGTAAAAAAAAACAAATTTGATAAAAGTAGTATATTAATAAAGCATTACTAATATTAAAATTATTCAATGTTTTCAGAATGTAAATAAATAATAAAAACAAAATAAATTTTAAAAAACGGATGCATCAACTATAGCAAAACTGAAATCTCACAAATAGATTCTCATTGATTTTCCATTGAGGTAAGGAAGATAACAGGAAAGGAGAATTATTTTACCTGAGTGCTTGTCAGCAGGTTGCTGTTTTTGCAAAATAGCTGAGATAACTCTCTGAATTCTCTCTCACAATTTTTAATCATATCTGACAGTTGCAAGATTTTTAACTCTTTATATTTAAGGCTCTTATAAAGATCTGAAATCTGAAAAGTGAAAGATTAAAATTGTTAATGTAAGCAATTAAAAACAGTTTTCTCACATACATATGTGTACACACACACACACACACACACACAGAGCAACACTACAGCCTACAGTAAACTTCCCCAACTTATGCTCATCTTGGTTAGGAGCTGTATTCAAACATTTGCCTCAGCAGTCACACATACCTTGGATCGGTTGGCTGTAGCAAACAAGCCAACTACAAGGAATTCTTCAATTTAAGAGTGTTTGCTTACCAAATATTCAAAGTTATGATGGGCCTCACAAAAGGTAATTATCACATCTCATGACCTGCTTTATGACTTTCATGACTTAACAAATGTATTTGCCAGACTCAATTACAGTTTGTAAGTAGAGGACTACCTGTAATTCACATCTTTCTAGAAAAAATTACCTGGGACAGTCGTAACATCCCGTGTTCTATTTTTGACTCAAACAGGACATTCTTGTACTTAGGTGCCCTCCATTTTACATTTTTCTGAATAGAATTATCACCATCTTGTCAAACTTAAGCCACACCTTTCTAAATCTAATAGTTTCCTATATTGCTAACTGCCTAGCAATGTTTCTGGAATAAAATGCCTGGAAAAGACTGCATTTGGGTGCTGAGTCAGAAGACACTCAGACCGTTCAATTACTATGCAATGATATAACTTCCCACTTTCATGTACTAATAGAATCAGCTGACTACTTAGATCTGGAGAATAAGGGGAATTCAGAAGTAAGAATCCCATGAATGCCTATCTACCAAATTGTTTTAGTGTCATAATTTCTGCATTGTAAGAGGAATTGAAATGAATATGTATTATTATGGCACTACACTTTTCAAAATCATTGCTAAAAATCATTCAGGTAATTTGACATGTCAGAAGAAACTCAAACCCTGATGGTTCTTTAAAAAAAAGAATAAAATTTTTCATTCACTGAAACACATTAGACTCTACTTCATCTTGCCAATAGTATCTATGTCCATCCTTTGGCCAAAGGAGAATCTTGAAAATTTTGGTTTCAAAAGAATTCCTGCAATGATCTGATGTCAATGTCACTTTTGTGTTTCATGCTTCTGAGGAAACATGATGCAAGCAGCCTACAGAAATTCAATAGTTCAGGCCTAATTAGTAGCAAAATGGGAAACCACTAAAAATGTCCCAAGTAAGATAAAGAGAGAAAGTTACATGCTAACGCACTAAAGCAAATTTACATATTGATGGTACTCCATTAGATATGAAGTCATTTTTCAAACCTCATTCTACATCTATTCCCCAAACAGCTTTCATTTTTAAAAACAACTTTTGGGAATTTACAAGAATGTGCACTTTACCTGATCTTCCAACTTTGAGTTCTTATCTACAATGTGTAGCATATGTTCTCTCAAGAAGATATCCTCGTGTTCTAAAAGCTTGCTTCTTTTAATCTACAAAAAATACATGAATAAGTTATATCAAATGTAAAAGGTAATTGAGAAAGCACCCTGATTAGTACATTCTCTTACCATGGTTTTAAAGTAACTAGGATATTGGGAAGATATTCACTGTTGCTCAAACTTAAAAAGTGGACTGGAAAAATATTCAGTGATTAATTGGTTCCCTTTTGTGTTTTGGAAAGTCTGCTTCTACTGTAATACTAATTATGTCTGTCTTATTGTGCCATACCTTTTTAGGACAGCCACACATTTTATATGGACAATCAATTTCCATTTCAGGACATACCAAAACATGATCTTCTGCCTGTAAAAATACAGATTAAGTAAGCATTAATGAAATATTTTGGAATATTTCAATATTTAGGAGAAGGGAGGATAATAAGCATATTTTTTACCAACATTCTATAAAAACTTTGGTAAAAAATAGACAATTTCCTAGGAATAAGGAAATTGTCTAATGATCATTTAGAATTTCAATAATAATTTTAATACTATGTGATACTCTTATGGAAATATAGAATTACTTTACTAAGATTAAATAAGTACTTTGCATATGAGATAAAAACTAGCAAAAGTAGGCATAGCTTGTTATTAAAATATTGTATTATATTTTAAAATTCTTCTTTTAATGAGCCAAAAATAATATTGTACCTCTTTCATCAGAATCATCTGCATGCAGCCATAGGGACAAATCCAGGGATAATCTGGGCAATCTACTTCCCTATGGGTCTGAAAATAAATTGGAAGATGGTGATGATGATAGTTAACAAGCCCAACAAAGAGATTTGTCAATTAGTGAAAACAGGTAGCATACAAATGATTGTAAATAAATAGTTATTTACCACCACTCATTTAAAGTCCTAATAGAATCAATTACAGGCACAGTCTACAAGGACAGTTCCTTAGCGGGATTACTGACATTATTGGAAGGAATACAGTTGAATAACTACTTTTTTCAAAAGTTCTATATGTGGATATTGAACTTGCTCAATGGACAATATCAGAATGCAGCAATGGGGAGTCTCTATTCATGCACCAGCTAATTAGCGATATCTTTTTCCTAGATATTCCATTTCCTTTCCTCCCAAATATAGTCAGCATATAATGGTGATTGAGTGTATGCAAATTCTGCCACCCTGCCCAAACACCTGCACAATCACAACACACCTCTAGTTTGGTGGGGAATTTGGGCTATATAAAAAATAAGCTGGCAAAAGAATTGATATCACAATTAATATATTAAAGGTAGACAATTTAAAACTGCTAATCTTTCATAATCATATTTCTGTAATGGTCTGAGAATAAACTTGGGGAGAGGAGGAGGAAGAGCTGCAATAGTTAAACAAGTCAGTGGCTAAACAAGATATATCTCAGCTCACTGAAGGAATGAAGGAATGTGTGGGAAGTAACTCAGAAGGGACACTCAATAGTTCTCTGAAAAATAACAGCAAGGAAGGGAAGAAGAAATTTCAGATTTGCAAAATTGATGCCAGCCCTTCAAGACACCTCATAAAAGAAACTACAACCCTGAGTACTAACACTATCTGAGTACTAACACTATCTTTATCGCAAGGTTAGAGCAATAGATGATTAAAAGCCCTTCTGATCTTCCAGGCCTTTACTTTCCAAATAACTAGGGAAGATCCATTATAGTTACTGGTTTATCTTGCTTTATATTTTCCTCCATTTTCTGCTGTGCTTAAGCAGAAGAAAATGGTCCTTATTTGAAAATATGTTGAAACAATTAGCAATAAACTAATTGCTTATAAAGTAGAAAACTGGTATCTGTTTCTAGTTATTTTAGTTTTTTAGAAATAACTCCATAAAATTGCAGAGTTTGTATTCCTCTTGCCAATTGGAAAAAAACCAAGCATAAACAAAAAAATGTTACTCTCCCAGCCGGAAGCTGCTGTAAATGACAATGATTTGATACTTAAAAACAGCAATACAAAATCATTTCAGGAAACCTCTGAAAAAGTTATGGCAACAAGAACTACTCCTTGCAGTTCTCATAAGGTCAGATACAATAATGATAGCATCTCATAGTCGGTAGCTCTTTAGCAGCCAATGAATTTCAACTAGTGTCCAAAATGCTTCTAATTTGCATTTTCAAAATTATGTGGTATATATAGATCATGGGTCATCAAACTACAGCCCGTGGAAGAGAGAGAGACAGAGAGAGAGAAAGACAGAGAGATTTCTCAAACTTCTTGGGTCATCAAACTACGGCCCGTGGAAGAGAGAGAGACAGAGAGAGAGAAAGACAGAGAGATTTCTCAAACTTCTTGGGGCTGAGAAGAATTGCTGAAAAACTGAGTTTCCTGAAGTGGACCACTAGACTCCTAAACAACTGAAAAAAAGAAAAGGCAATCAAAGAGCAACATGAAAACAAAAGCAAATAAAACACCCCCAGGAGCAAAATAAATTAAAGTTTAATTTGTGGCATTGTTCAATGGACTGTTGTTGGCCATGCCCACCTAGTCACATGACCTAGCCATACTCACTCAGTCACATGACCACCTAGCCACGCCCACCCAGTCAGTCTGCCCCCCCCCAACAGTCTGAATTGGCCCCCTGTTTAAAAAGTTTGAGGACCCCTGATATAGATGATAGCATAATCCAGAGTGCCTTCATTATTTTCAAGACTGTGATAGATCATATGGGAGACAGTAATCTATAAACTTTCTCCAATATGTTATCTTCTGGATGTGTTCATATATAATTCATAGCATTATAAAAATAAAATAATGTAATTTAAAATACACAATTTAAAGCTGAATCTAACCTTTAAATTAACTGATATCACAGGGTGTTTACAGTACTGGCACTGTTCTTTTCGAAAGTTACATTGCTGAATAAGGTGTTCTTTTAAATCCTTCAGAACATTTTTTTCATTACAGCCTTCATTAGTACACTGCACAGTTTCAAACAAACACTGTTGCAGGTGATCCTGTAAATGAAAGTAGAATAATGCATTGTAGATTGCATTGTACTCTCATTAGACAGATTGTTATACTATACAGAGAAAGCAGCCATATCCTCTAGGTTTCTACTTACAAATTGTGACATAAATCCTTCTCCCTCCAAGCAAACATAAACCTCTTTTTTCATGTCTTATTATCCTGCGAATGATAACAGTTGTGTTTGCTTGAAATATCAAAGAATAGAAGCTTTTGAAGTTTTGACTAAAATAGCCCAAAGTAAAACTGTAACCACTTCCTAGTCCGCTACAAAAGCATTTTGCATGGTTGGACCACTTCTTTTTAATTATTTTTTGAGGAAGCTGTTCTCAGTACAGAACTGATGCTACTTAATGCTGTAGACTTCTCGAGTTTATCGTACACTCATTAATCACTTTACTTCTTTAATATGCTGAGAAAACTGTAACTGTTAGCACCAGATTAAGCAAGCTTATTCCCTGTGCAGAAAAAGCTTACATATATATCCCGTATTTTCTACAGATATAAAACACTGTCATAAATTTAAAACAGATAGGAATTGCATGAATTTTGAAAGAATGTGAACAGAATTAGAATCAGGAAAAAATCATGCAGAAAATAGAACATTTTAACAAGAACATCAACAACAAAAGTACAAAGGCATAAAAGAAGTGCAAGGAGATTATAGCAGGTATAAAAAGGGTTTTTACAAGAATACCACTAACACCATTAGCTCTATCCATAAAAATATTTGAATACATTTAGAATTGAGTCAGGAAAATGATCATGGAGTGATTATGGAGTGAAGTGATTGCCCCTAACTACACATAAGTCTATACAATTGATGAGAGAGCAACAATACTCACGCCTATACTGTCATATTTAGAAAGAGACAGAAGAAGATATTCAGTCTTACAAACAATTTGGTCTAAATGATATTTAAAAACCTTTTAAAAAAAGCAAAGTACTCAAAAATTGTCAGGAGTATTGTAAGTTTTAAAAAAGAATACAGGATCTTTTAAACTGTTCCACAGAACTCTTAAGTTTCTGTGATAACTTTAAGACATTCAATAAAAGATTAACGACAACAAAAAGTTCATTTGAATGCAGCTGATTTTCTATCACTAGAGTTCTGCCTCTTGATCAGGAATTCTGGATTGTTTTTTTAAAACTTAACAAGTTCTGTATCCTGAAAAAGTTTGAAAACCCCTGTCCTATTTTCTTCAAAAAGTTATTTGATAAAAAGGTGAAGAAAGATCGGTTTTCAGTTTATAGAAGCATTTATTTTTAATTTGCTTAACATATAATACAAGAATACAAACCTGGTATCGTCCGAGACATAACTTTGCAGTGCAGGCTGGTGAATTTTTACAAAACACTTGCAAATTGAGTACTTCTCTTTTGCAGCAATTATCTTTGAAAACCTTAAATTTAAAACAAAAAGTATGATTTTGATATACACACAAGCAAAATAATAGTAATTCATGACAACCCTTTGCCTGTAAGACACAGCCTGGCAACTTTCCTAAAATTAATTATTACATTTTATATATTATTTATGTGCATTTTATATAGATGATACCTTCTCTGACAACTGCAACTTTATGTGAGGAATGAAAGAAATGGAAAAGAACTACATCATTAAGATAAGATTTCTCATACCTAGAGACTTAATTATAAGTTTCAGTACAAGCTTTATATCATATTTGAAAATGCTATTCAGCAAGGATTATTTTCAAATTTTTATATTTCTTTTGCATTTGGGTTTAAATTTACCTTACTTTGATTATAATTTCCATTTAGCAGTACACTAAAAAAACCTGAATAAACAGATTGCAAC